ACAAGACGCGTCTTCTGGACCGTGGCCTTTTAACCAAGGAACTTCCATCCTGTTCCTCTTCCTCTTCAGAATCTTGGGTCGTATCAGCTTTTCTTTTCGATGAAGAACTCAAGATTATCTCTTGAGCTCTTTCCAAAGAAACTCTGGAAACCGCGATTGCATCAGCACTTACCCTACGTATGGGGAACCCTGATAAAAACGAAGGGTCAAATAAATTCTAAAGGAAAGATGAACAATAATATAAAAAAAAAAAACGTTTATAATTAATTTTACAAAAAGCGTGTAACTATTATATTATTATACAAAAGCGTGTACTATATGACTCGTCATACACGTGCGTTCACGTGCTGAGAAACTATAATATATATACACACACACATAAACACACTTACACAACATATGGAGAACTTTGNCTGGGTTCTCGGGTAATGGCTGAACAAGTTCACCTGCATAAACTCTTTTCGTTCAGCAAGGCCTTCAAACCTCTAATCTCTTCACTGGCTTTGGAGAGTTGCTCGGAAAATGATACCTCAAGGAGACTTTTGTCTTTGTCAGCCTGATTGGAAGAAGCTCTTTCAACTACTAACTCTGAAATCAAGACCTTCAATTGTTGCTCTAAGGTACGCTTGTTCTCTTCTAACACTTCCATCTCCAGCTGAAGACTTTCATACTGTTATTTCCAATTGTCTGCCTCAACTTGATAGTCATGCATTAACTGCTCCGTATGAGAAACCCTTTTCATCATCTATGTACCAATGAGATTGATCTGAAAAAGAAAAAAGGGGTAAGAACCTTAGTGAAAGAAGAATTGAATAAAGCGTAAAAACAAAAGAGCAGCAAATACCTTCAGTGATGATTTCACTATATCATTCATCCAAGTCAAAGAACTATGACTTTCTAGCTTGGACTTTTCTACTGGGCCAATCAAGGGTTTTAACCATACGTCAGCCCGACCTAATTTTTTCAAAAGATTACCATCGGCAGGGACCTCAATGGTAATCTGCTTTATCCCTCCACTTCCACTTGAAGAACCAACCTCAGTACAAGGAATGGTGATAGTGGGGACTGAAGAAGAAGTCATAATGGCTTGGGGCAGAGCAGAAACAGTAGCAGTAACAACTGGCAAAGAACACACCACAGGGACAGACATGGTAAAAGAGGCAAGAGGCACTTCATCTGAAACCAAATCCAAATTCTCACTATCAAACCCACGAGAAAAAAGTTGTTCATCGGAGTCACGAGCTGCCGCAGGAGTATCATCATCAGAACTCACCAATGTAGCACTAACAGGCTCGGTCACGAGAATAGAACGGGGAGGAGTCGCTTCATCGTCTGACAAGACGCGTCTTCTGGCCCGTGGCCTTTTAACCAAGGAACTTCCATCCTGTTCCTCTTCCTCTTCAGAATCTTGGGTCGTATCAGCTTTTCTTTTCGATGAAGAACTCAAGATTATCTCTTGAGCTCTTTCCAAAGAAACTCTGGAAACCGCGATTGCATCAGCACTTACCCTACGTATGGGGAACCCTGATAAAAAGAAGGGTCAAATAAATTCTAAAGGAAAGATGAACAATAATATAAAAAAAAAAAAGAGTAAAGTATTTTGCCATGAGTTTTGACCTTCCAACCAAACCTTTGTGAAAGGTTTTTCCAAGATCTGCCTTCCATAGGCGCAACAGCCAATAACTTTTCTACCCAGCCACGAAAATTGGAAATCTCGTCAACAGTTCCCATGGTTGTTGAAAAAGGAGAAAGTTAAACAGCAGCGGGAAAAATAAATCCCTTCAGAAGGAAAAAAAGAAGAAAGTTGCGAGATTAAAACTCACGTGCAAAATTCCACTTTTCGGGGAATGGTACATTTTCTTTACCTACTAAACCTACAGTAGGAGCAGCAACAAATATGGCATACCAGCCACGATCTTTATCATCTTTAAGGCTAACTAGTACTCTTTTACTCCTCGCCACTAAAGTAAAGATCCCATGACGGAAAAGTTTAGGGGAGTAGAGGTGGATCAGATAAAAGAAAGTGAAAGGCAAGTTAGCCAATCTTGCTAAGTGCCTTAGACAAACAACAACCCTCCATACAATGGGGCCAATTTGTCCCAGACAAATATTGAAAAAATGGCAGAACTCAATAATAACAGGATCAATGGGGGGTTTGAAATTCAGTGTAAAGGGATATGTATACACAAAAGAAAATACAGTCATGTAAGATGTAATTCTTTGGTTTGAATTGGGAATTATAATAGGGAAGTCAGGGCTCCAGTGGCAATCCTTACGGACAACAGAAATTAAACCTTCAGTAATCTGAGAAGGATAAACGTCAACACGATCCAAAGAAGACATAGAAGAAACTTGATTCCTAATTGGCTCTCTATCAGAGTAAAAAAATAGTTCAGAAGGGATAATTTCATCAACTAAAGGTTCACGAAATGGTTCACTAGAGTCTTTATTTCTAGAAGAAGATCTATGTGAAAGAGAACCCCTAGTTCTGGAAGGAGGGGTGGAACTTGATGGAGGTAAAGAAACACCTCGTGTAGATGAAGACCCTAAACTATGCAATCTTCCCCGTCTTCCGCTTCTAACAGGAGCAAGGGAAAGTTCATCAACAATGGGGAGCTGTACGAGGAAGAAAACAAGAATGAACATTCTAAGATAGGCAACTTTTTATGAGAAAGACAAAAACGAAAGCTATATTTATACTAAAAAGCAACCGTCAAGGAAAATGTGTAATGATGAAAACGCCATGATGAAAACTGTCACTTCGTAATTAATGAAGCTGCAATAAAGCCCTAAAAGATGATGAAGAACTGCAGATCCGATTAGAAGATGCCACGTGTCACTAGCATTAAATGGAAGTGACATATAAAATGTCAGTTATGGAAAAAGTATAATGGCAGCAAAAATTTCCGCTTTAATAAAGATCCACTTCCCATATTCTATTGTTGAATAAATGGCAAGTGGGGGGACTATCTGTATTGGGAAAATTCAAGTTAGTATACTGAATTTATTATGTGAAGATATGTCATGACACGTGGATCAGTAAAAGAATGACAGCTGGTAGAGAATAGTTAAAGAGGCACGAGCTTTAACAGACACGAGCAGAGGTCCAAGAAAAACAGTAGGGATAGGTGCTTGATGATAGGCTATAATTACGTATTTTAGTCGCTTATTACACTCTAATTTACTGCACTTTAGTTGAGTTTGCGCTTTAATCGCTAGTGTTTTGCACTAATTGTGTGTTTTATGCCTTGTAGGTGTTCTTCCGAGCTATATAGATGTTATGGAATGAATTTAAGTGATTTGAAGCTTTGAAGTCTGAGTAAAAGCTCAAGGAATTAAGCCGGGATCGTGTTCGGGGGTCAAATTTGATAGTTGAGAACAAACGAAGACTCGATGAGGCATATTGCGCACTGTCTAGTAAACTGGACATAACATTCTGCTCCGAACTCCATATGGGCTATATAATATATGGTTGGAAATCTAATTCAAAGGGATACAATTTTCTTGTTTTACATTTTTCCAAATTCTGAACAGAACAGGGTGAAAAACGCGATCGAAACCGCGACCGCGGAACTAACCGCGGCAGAAAATCAGAGAGCTTGTCTGGCCGCGGCACGCCGCTCCAGGCGTAAAAAAGAAGTCTATTTCATCCGGGACAAGGTTATTTCGGCCCTACACTATTCCAACTTGTATAAAAGGGGTCCTAAACCTATTTTGAAGGGAGAGAATGATTTTTGGAAGTGAAAAACATCGGAAGGAAGGGCAAGAGGCAAGGAGGATCATTGGGCATCAATCTTTAATCTTCTTCTTTGTTCTTTTACCTTTGAATATGAATTCGTTTGTGATTTTTTTTATTTTCATGAGTAGCTAACTTTTCTAATCTAAGGTTTTGGTGAAACCTGTTGGGGATGAATTGGTTGTTATAAGTAATATAGATTTGAATTAGTTTAATCTCTATTTGTTCAACTATGTTTTGATTGTGGTTAATTGAAAGGATCCTCAATTAGCCGTTCCTATTTATTATGTATCTGCTTGAGAGAGAGTGCATATTTAGGTAGTTGTTTGAACAACATCACTCCCGGAGTATAGACAAGAGTCATAACCGAGGGTTTAGAGGTTGGATTAGAGATAACGATACCTCGGGTGCAATCTAAGTGAACTGTAATGCGAATCTAGCTAGCGTAGCTTGAGAGAGTGCGTCTAGTAAATTATCATAATTGTTTGAGAGAGATTTATGATAGCTGGAGAGTTCATGATTGATAGAGGCAACTAAGTCAACGCTATAAGAAACTTACAACCAAGAAAATCAACAACGGGGGAAACCATTACCTTAGACCTTTATTCCAATTGTTTACAATTCAAGCATAGTTAGTTTTCAGCTGTTTATTTATTTTCAATCTTGTCTTCTTAGTGATATTAAACAGATACAGCTAAGCCTTAGTTCTCTGTGGGATTCGACTCCGGACTTTTAGACCGGATTATATTTGCAGTTACGATTGCCAATTATAACGTTGCATTAAATGTCATTAATTGCCCATAATAACTCCATTATGGAAGGAAAGAAACGTATTACTTAGAAATAGCTATAAAAGGAGAGGAATAAACTTTTGTAAGGACAAGAAACACTATTGGAATACACTGAATTACTTTGCTTTCTATCTTGCAACTATTCATATCAATTATTCTTATTTTTATTTGATTATGAGTAACCCGAGTTCTTCTAATAGCAAGCTTTGAGCGAAATTCTTATTTTTTGGTTAAACAGCTGTTTCCATGGCTCGAACTCGGGACCCCAAGAGGCCTAATTGTCAATAATATCAAGCAATCTGGTTCCAAACATGGACAAAAGAGAAGTTCAACCATAAGAGTGACTTCATCGCTGATGTAGAGGATGAGCTTCGTGGGGTAGAAACAGCAACAAAGATAACGTTTACGCTCTCACCACCAATGAACTTCTAGTGGAATTGACTGACGCACATTGTGATATTCAAAATTGGATATAGTTTTGATCACAACAATATTTTATTCATGATTACTCTTGTTGTTACAATGATAGGTTGATAACATGATTCTGCTCATGGATTTGTAACATTGCATACAAACTTTCTAGACTACTTATAGGTCTGAAAATGTTCTCATGGATTTGTGTTAATTACTACTCGCGACAAATGGACTCCGGACTTTGTACTTACCATTTGTCCAAGTAATTGATCCAAACAGATCTTCCTTTGAGGTAGATGAAGCTTTGAAAGACACTTCATAGCTTAATTTCTTGCTTTTATTTGTAAATTCCAATTTACTTGGAATCACTTGGACTTCCAATCCTGTTGGTGCCTCAATAATTGCAGTATATACTGATGCTTCTTCACCAGTATTTGTAACAGTTCTAGTAACTTTCTTCGGCTCGTTTTCTTTGAGACTAGAAATAGCTATTGATGGATAATTCATATTAGAAACCATTTCAGAGGTTGAGTTGTTAGGACATGAAAAGTCTTTAGGAACTGTATTTGAGATCAGCTTTATCTGTGATATGTTAAAGCTAACAGAACATAGGAACTGCAAGTAGTCGGCGACATCTGTCTCGTAGACTAGACCTGGTTTTAATGGACCTGAAGTGCTCGCTTCTCCTGCACCTATGTCATATGGTGTTGCTTTGGATCCAGAGACTGTAGTGATTGGAGCCTTCAAATTGTTTGTCTGAATAGCTGTTGAAGCGAAATTTGGAGTAAGCAACGGTTCACTAAAACAAAAGAACAGTGAGTAGTTTACTTTTATTAGGTTCTTTACCAGTGGTCATAATAGCTGATTTGACGGCTGAAGGACTCCAGGCAGGGTTTACTGATTTGACTGTTGCAGCAATACCGGATACGTGAGGGCAGGACATGGAAGTGCCTGAGAGTAGGTTGAAAATTGGTGGTTTTTGGCCGCGGAGAGCCTCACTCGTGTCATTTCCAGGCCAAGCAGCAAGAATGGCAACCCCTGGTGCTGTAATATCCGGCTGCAAGAACAAATGAAAATCCATTTAGCCCATGTTTTACTGCGCCTAGCGAACTTCTGTTAAGAATACAATCAAAGATGAAATGTTGGCCTTACTTTGAGGAGGTTAGGGGTGTTGTACGCAGGGCCTCTTGATGAGAAGTAAGCCACAACTGGAGCTGGTTTGTACTTTGTTATGGAAACAGTTGGTAAAATTGATGCAACTGGATTCCTTCAGAATTTTGAAGAATTGTCAACTGTTTGTGCACTTAGGAACTATACCAAATAATTAGTCTTTTAAGGTAAAAGTACTCTAAAACTAGATGTCCGATAAATCTTACAATTGTCCTCTAATTAACACTTATGCAGTTATGCTTATACTGTCATACAAGTCTTAATCCAGATTAAAAAGACTCTTGGAATATCATACCTGATGCAGCAAGTAGAAAATTACATGAAATATAGCCTACTATTGGAAACTAACAGTGATTACCTCGTCGAGTTAATGTAGGCGAGGATCTCATTTCCATCCTTTTTAGAGACTACACCAGCTGAGAAGGATTTAAATTTGGGTGCCACTGTTCTTTCATCATCATCTATTAGTATAAATCCAACTCCACCTCGACTCTTTACTTCGTCTAGCTTGTCACTGGGAAAATATCCGCCATCATCAAGATTTTCACAAAGAACAATCTTCCCCTTGACTTTGTTTTCATCCAATGAACCAGGAACACAACTCCTGAAACACCACCATTTTAAGTTATATGTATAAACCGTTTCATTTTTTTTTAGGGGGGGGGGGGGGTTAGGGGGGGTTTAACTTCAGTAGTATTCGTACTACTTACGACGTTTACCTTTTTTAACTTTTAGTTCGACCAACGTA